GTGATAAGAAAGTGCAGAGGTAGTTAGTGTAAGTGAATCTACTTCTAAAACCACATGGTGCTGCTGAGTGGATACTTCTGGGTTTATATCAGGCTGAGAGAAAAGTGCTGAATGCAGAGTAGCCAACAATGACCATCAGTTACACGGGGGCATATCGCAGTGTGGGCTGGCGCACAGTTAATGGCGTCAAACCTGCAGGCTGATATATATGAGGAAAGCGGCCCATTAAATGGCACTGCGGCCCTACAAGTGGCCGTAACACGGAGCCGAGTAAGCACAATTAAAACAACTGCTGTACATTAATTGAATTGCATTGCATTGCCGCTCCCGTGTTTATAGCCGAGCTGCTGTGATGACTCGTGGTATTTAAAGGAAATTTAAGGGTGCGCATCAATTAAGCGCGAGCGTAAACACACGCAAAGGCATGCTGCTTTAACTAGAACAAGCTCTGACCCAGATCAAGTGTACCTGCAGCACGATGCTCACAGCAATTCCTCAACATAACTAAATACCCACGTTTGTGCGCGGTGCTCTGTATATCCCCCATCCCATTACCCTCAGGGACGAAAAAGCCATCATGCGATGGCGCGTCTTGTAAGAGCGTGAACAAGTGGTGCAAGCCCAAAGGAGAGAGAGCCAAGACTATTCTCGGCCATTCACCGTATCGTGTACTTTTCTCTGTAGATTCATGTAAAGACCGGGGAGGAACTTTCCTTTCACTGACATCACAGAGAAAAGGAGCAGACTGGATGTCTGCATAAGTGTTCGTCATTTCAGTCTGAAGCTAATGGAAGAAAAGATGAGGTCAAATACAGTAGAAGTCAGCCGAGGCGCAGGAGTGCTGAATAAGAGATGGAGGCACACTATTAACACATTTCTGTTTTGCTCCCTGTCTTCTCTCTCCTCCGCTGCAGCCCAGACAACATGTCTGCGCGATGTGCCCATTATGCAAGGAGACATTTTCCACCCTGGTCCCGGGAGAATCCAGAGGATGGGGGTGTGGGGGGGCAGGTATCAATAATTCACAGGTGAGATGAACACAAGTGCCACTCCTTTCATCCCTGCCTCACACGGTTTAATGGACACGGCTGTAATTCTCTCCAAGAGGAGGCGATTATTTTGAACACGGCGAGATGTCCGAATGCACTCGTGTAATCCCAAAAAACACAGGTGTGTATTTTTTTGGGGGGGGAGATCAAGCCTCAGAGGACAGGGGCTGTACAGCGTTGATCCTCCCTGCTCTCCACCAAGATGAAAGAGACAAATAACATCAGTCACAGAGCAGCTATCACGAGGCGCTGTGAAGTGGAAATCGCGGGAGAAGAGCCCGGTCCAAATTGAAAGCCTTATTTTTTGTGTTTTTTTGTATTCGTGATTTCCTTACGTTCTCTCTGAGACGATGTTA